CTGGTTTGGGTTTGTGGCCTTTCGGTCAAATCCCGAATGGATTTGTAAAGGCTAATCTGTTAGCTTCTACGAGATGTGTTAACGTGTAACACATGATTATTCTTTATAAGAATAAAAGGATAACCAAATTAATTGTGGATTAATGCGGTTATGAACGATCGATGTGGTGAACGTGAAACACCTATTCGTGATTTCGGCGCAAGCATTGGTATTATACTCGAGAGTACGGTACGGTATTCACCTCAATCGAACGTTGTTACCGAACATAAATATCAAGACGTTGATAAGTTCGGGTCTACCTCAAGGTACGTGAGGTGAGACAATACTTTGGACAAGTAAGTACCTTTAAAATAAGGTTACCCGCATGAAATTCTTACGAATTGTGGGTACGTAGGAAATTTTTCTACTAATGCCTGAAATGTGGGGGTGTCTTGCCAAAGGCATTTTGGTTCTTAGTACACGAGTCCTACGTGCTGGACATACATAGGAACACGGTAAATTGAATCAAGAAATTCATCGCTCTTTAGAATATGCATTTCTGAGAAGGTTCAACAAAAAGGACCTAGCACGTTGAAATGAACTTTCAACGTAGCTATGGTTGAAGGGTATGAAAGAGAACCCGAGCTCAAAGCTAGACGTAGCAAGAGAGCTAGGATTGAATAATCCTTTGGTCCAGATTTTCTGACGTACATGCTAGAATGTGACGCGCATATTCTAACTTGTTTACAAGAAAACAAATTGGATTTTTCTGACATGGTTGTTAGAAAACAAGCCTCGAACATATGTAGAAGTGGTGACTTCTACAGATGGACCAACCCGAGAGAGGCTACCGAGAGTGAAGTAGATTCTATCTTAGAGAATCATACTTAGAACTGGTCGTTCTTCCTCCGGGTTGCAAAACCTTTGGATTCTAAGTGGATCACTAGTCGGAAGATAAAACCAGTTGGTTATATTGAAGTAAAATGGCCGGGCTTGTAATTGTAAATTACATGCAACGCGAGTGCCACGGTTACTTCGATATATATATTCTCTTGTGATGAGAATGAAATCCATTAGGATGATACTTCCCAAGATCTGTTTAGCGAGACTTGGAAGTTTATCGAAATGGATGTATCGCTTTCTTAATAGACATGAAACAACCCGAGGGTTTTGTAGTTCCGCGCTATGGAAAGAACGTGTGTAATTGGTGAGATCATTGTATGGTTTGAAACAATTGCCTTAGTATTTGGCATGTAGGTTTTGATCATACAATGATGTGTCACAAGTTTAGTATAAACAAATGTGATAAATGTCTACGTAATGCGTACGACAGACGAGGTTATCACTATCTGTCTATACACGATAAAACTCAACGTGGGCGTAACGATCAAATGATCAATTCTACCTTGAACTTGTTAAATTTGATATTTGACATGAAGGATATGGGGTTGGCAGAGTTAATCCTCGGGATTAAAATTGTGAGAAGACCGTATGGTCTCGTGTTAAGCCAATCTCATTGTGTTGATTAAATCCTTGCAAAGGATGTTAATCAAGTGGCTTGGACACCGTTAGATACTAACGTACAACTAACCAATAATCACGAAGATTGTACATCTCACGGAGAATACATTCAGATTATTGGTAGTTTAACTGTATCCAATGGGTTGTACTAGGCCAGATATTGCCTTTGCGGTTAACGAACTCGGTAGACATACGAGTAACCCTAGTGTTACGCACTAGAAGGCAACAGTGAAAGTTATGAGATACTTAAGGTATTCTCGTGACTTTGGACTGCACTACGTGGGATATCTAGCCGTACTTGGAAAGTATAACACAGATATCAAAGGACGCTAAGTCCATCAAAGGCTACGTCTTTACATAGGCCGGTGCAGTCGGTTGGACGGAAATTCTCGAAATGAATTTGTGATAGCTAAGATCCGACGGGATCAAAGCTGAGAGCCTTACACTCGTGTCGCGAGCGAGTAGGCCGAATGGCTATGCCATTATTTCGAGAATGTTCCTAGTGGTGAACTCGTACCTCCAATTTGTGTGCATTGCGATAGTCAAGCCAAAATTGGTTAAGTACAGAGTTAAATGTGGAATGGTAAGTCTAGACTTATAAGTCGTAGATATAATACCATTAAACAATTTCTCACAACGGGGGTTATCTCTATTGACTACGTGATGTCAAAAGATAACGTAGCGGCCGCTAACTCGCTAACCCGAGGGTAAGCAAATGGTTGTTGAGAAGTTGGAACGAGGAACGGGACTAAAAGCCCTTGGACTAAAAGTTCTATAGTGGATACCCAACCTAGCTGGCACCTAGGTTCAATGGGACAACTAAATTATGGAATGGAGCATGTCACTGTGGGGGTCTCGGACTCCCTACCACTCCTCGATAGAAACAGTGGCTCCCGCACAAGGTTAGCATGTTAATTGCTTTAGTGATTCGAATGTCGGTTGACATGTGTGAGTATGCGGGATACTCGGAAAAGAATCACCTATGTGAGAGAGAAGTGAGGGTCGCTTCAAAGGAGAATTGATGGGCACAATTCTTCACAAACTCTTGCAGAACCAGGACGGTGACCCACGACCAAAATGGGCACACTCATGAGAACAGAGCATGGTTGGGAGGTTCCTGTGTGAGATATGTCATCGTCTACACAAACGGCAGTCGGTTCAAAGACATCGCGTTCTACCGTACAGCCAGTAGAGTAAACATATCTTCACAAGGGAAGGTTCAAAGGGTATAATGATCCCTACCTATCCTATGCAGGGATCGACCGTTGAACACAGTTGTTTCCGATTTCAAAATACCCTGAAAATCAATTTTCATTCATGTGGGGGATTGTTGGAAAAATAGCATTAAAATGACATTTTGAGTGATTATTTTGTGGTACAAATATATATGGGATCCACTTCCGATTTGGATCGGGTCAATGTGGATTCGGGTTCTTCGTAGTGAGACGAAGAATTTGATATAATGTACGCTCAAAATGGGTAATAGGTGAACGAGAAATTGATTCTCAAAGTGAACCTATTTGAGAGACGTCAAAAACTTAAGTTTAGATGCTAATAAAAAATTAGCATTTTAACAACTTTCGTTGTACTACACGAAAGTTATGTTATAGCTTAAGTGTAATTAAGCTTTGGTTGCTTAATTAGTGGATTGGGATTTGAAGATTCGTGTTGTACAAATTGAAAGCTCAATTAGGAGATTTGGTTTCTGTAAGCACGAAACTTTGGTTTGGTGCTCTCCTTTCGTGAGCTACTTTCGTGCTAAGCACGAGTCAATGCAATATCATTGATTCGTGCCGCACCGTTTCGGTACTTTACGGACCATTCAGGTGTGGTTTTCGGTCCCAATTCGTTAACCTTACGGGTTTGTACGGACTTCTCGGTCACTCAGATATTTGAAACGGGTCGCTACAATCGGTACGAATTAATCGGATATTAAGTTCGTGACCGTTGATATTATTTTGATAATAAGTACGACCGTTTCAAACGTTATAATTCAATTTTTAAATTTAATTTATGTTGGTTAATGTGTCATGATGATGCTATTTAGTATCAATCTCCTATATAAACATGTTGTGGGAGCAACCTTTTTGGACACGTACAATGTTAGAAAGAAAGTGAGAAACAACACAAGAACACACACAAAGAAATTCTCTTTTCCTCTCAAAATTCTACTCCTACTCCATTCTTGAAGCTGTGTTTTGCTCGTGCTCCTGTTCGCCGGGTTCGTTCGTTTGGGTGCTCAAACGTCGAACCGCTGTACGTTTTATCCTGGGAGACCTAGGCCACAACGCTCCTAGCACTCATGGGAGGTGGCAAATAAGGTTTTAAGGAAAGAAAGGCACCTTGCCTAACTCGTACATTTCTTTCTTCCTTCTCGTTCTTTCTTGTTTTGGATTATGCTTTTAAGCAAAAATTCGTTCTTTCTTGTTGATTTGGAATTATAATCTAAGGATTATATATTTTTTTTTTTGGTTGATATATATTGGTATATCTTTTTCGTAGATATACATGTATATATAACCGTAGGGTCCGTTTTATATATATTTTGTGTGTATATATATATTTCGGATATATATATATATATATATATATATATATATATATATATATATATCCAATAATATTTTATATATATTTCGTGTGTATATATATAAATATTATTTTACGGATATTAAATCGATTTTGGTTCATTATCACCAACAAGTGATTCCTCTTCATCTGATGAAGATACTTCTTCTTATTCTGAGAAAGAATTAAATGTCAATAGATTAGAATATCTCTATATGTGCATGCTTGAAAGTACCATTTAGTTTTTTTTTTTTTTTTTTTTTTTTTTTGCCTTTATTGACTTAAACTTGATTTCCTGTAATTTTTTTTTTTTTTGAAAGGAGCCGTTATGGAATTTATTCAAAATACTGCGAAATAGTGTGAGGCGGAACAGAGTCCCAATACATAATAGCAGGCTGACTAGAATTAGATAAAGCTAAAGTATGAGCTAAATAATTCTCTGATCTAGGAATGTAAATAACTTAACAATAATTAAAAGTAACGATACGTGCCCTCCAGGCATCTATTGCATAGCCAATATACGACCGAAGAGAGGTCGCTGACTGTGAGAGGTATTGTTGTAGTGTCAAACAATCCGTGAATAATTGTATAGAGTGATTTCCACGAGTCCATAACCATGATAGTGCTTCCTTACATGCAAATGCTTCGGCCATAAGTGGGGACTGACAATCTGGCAATCGTATAGTGAAGGTCGATACATATTCTCCTTCCCCAGTCAATAACACTGCTCCAGCAGTTGCTTCCCCGTGTGTCGCGAAAAACTGGCATCGAAGTAACATTTTAACAGCACATGAACCTCCGGTGATGGTAGCGTATCTTCGGCCATGTGCGATTGGTGCGGTACGGTCGGCAAAGCAGGCTGTTGCGGCGGCATGGGAGTCCGAGTGGGATGTGCTTGCTGCCATGCATGTACTCCGGCAGCGGCTGCGCAATCACTCTTCGCGGACGTGGTAGGCATGCATCCCACACCGCTCCATTTCTGGCTCTCCAAATGTAATATAGAATTGCAGCTGCGTGGATAACTTGGTTAGTGTCTAAAATATTTAATAGTTCACTAAACCAAGCATAGAAAATATTTGTGATTTTGATGGGGATTGGAAGGTGAGATTGGCTCCAAATGGACTTAGCATAGTCACACAATACTAAAGCATGCATTGTGTCTTCATTTGTCATCCCACACATAGCACATGTTGGTTGTATATCCACTCTCTTTATAATCAGATTTGCCGTAGTGGAGAGAATATCATTCAATGCTCTCCATAAGAAAGTTTTCCATTTGGGAGGTATTTTGAGTTTCCATAAGCCTAGCCAATTATCAAAACCGCTCGTAGTATGCCTATAATCTCCAATAATAGCTCTGTACCCATTCTTTACTGTATAGTTTCCTCCCTGGTCCCCATACCAATACCACATATCATCATAGTCCGATGATATTGGTATTTTCAAGATCCGGGGTATATCAATGGGGTCAAAAATATATGTCAATATATCCGGATCCCAAGTCTGTGTCTCCGGGTCCATTAATCCCTTAACAGTCGCACCATTCAAGTGCACAGGCTTTTCTGTGTGAATCTTTGGCTCATGTTGGTCCTGCAACCATGGATGGTCCCATATTAAAGTTGTATTCCCGTTTCCAATTCTCCTCCTGATCCCCCTACATACCATATCATGGGCTGCCATAAGCCAACAGAAACTTGGGTTGTTCCCCACACATGCATCATAAAAAGTCCCTTTAGGATAATATCTGGCTTTATAAACTTTTGAAACCAGAGACTCAGGCTTAGTGAGTAACCGCCATGCTTGTTTACCCAACATTGCCAGGTAATTGAAAGCATGTAGCTCCTTGAATCCCAAACCCCCATGCTTCTTTGGTATACACATCTTATCCCAGGCTTTCCAATGGATGCCACAGTCATTCCCAGATCCCCACCAGTAACGATTCATGGTTCGCTCAATGGCTGTACATATCCCCATCGGTAATAAGAAAACGCTCATCGAAAAAGTAGGCATAGCTTGAGCCACACTTTTTAATAAAACTTCCTTACCAGCCTGTGATAATAGTTTCTTATTCCAGGATACAACCCTTTGCCTGATCTTGTCCTCAATATACGAGAAAGCTGCCTTTTTATTTCTCCTTATAAAAGCGGGCAACCCCAAATACTTCCCATAGTTGGGAGCTTGGTTCACACCTAAGATATGTGCCACATCATTCCTGTCATCATCTCTCGTATTCTTACTATAACAGATGCTTGATTTATGATAATTGACTACTTGGCCAGATAATCCTTCATACCGTGTTAAGCACTGTTTAATCACCTCAGCTTTCTTAATTTTTGCCTTAAAAAACAACAATCTATCATCAGCAAAAAAATAGATGGGATATAGGTGGTGCACCTCTCGCAACTCTACAGCCATGAATTTTTCCTTGAGACTGTGCCTGTTGTAGTAGTAGTGATAGAACTTCTGCACAGATAATAAAAAGGTACGGGGATAAAGGTTCACCCTGTTTAAGTCCACGAGTCGGGGTAATAGGCAAACTACGAGAGCCATTCAGCAAAATATTATAAGACACCGTGGTCACACATAACATAATTAGCTCCACCCACCTAACATCAAATCCCAACGCCATCAACATATTACGTAGGAATGACCATTCCATATGATCATATGCCTTTGCCATATCTAATTTTAATGCACCCCATCTCGTCATACCACACTGCTTTCTGTTTAAAAAGTGACAAACTTCCGCAGCAACCAGAATATTATCAGTTATCAGCCTGCCAGGTGTAAATGCGCTTTGCGTATCAGAAATAATTTCATTCATAAGGGGTTTCATTCTGGCCGAGATCATCTTTGCCATGATTCTATAGATCACATTACTCAGCGCTATAGGCCGGAGATGCGAGACCAACTCCGAAATCTTTTTCTTGGGAATCAAAACTATATCAGTATCATTCAAATTAGCTGGAAAAGTACGAGTATTCAGACAATTCACAATAAAGTCTGACACATCCTCACCCACCACATCCCAATAATTCTGATAAAAGCCCGGGTTCATTCCATCCGGGCCTGGTGCCTTATCAGGAAACATAGCTGTCCACGCAGCCTTGATCCCTGTTTTGTCAAACGGCCGTATCAGGTCATCATTCTGTGCTTGTGACACCCGGGGCAAAATACTTGCATAAAATTCTGCATCATTTTCAGACTGACCCGTAGCGAAGATACGTCTGTAACAATCAACTATAACAGTCCCCATAGCCTCCCCCTCCACCCAATCCCCATCATCATTCATAATTTTAACAAGTGTATTCTTATTTTTACGGTGAGAAGCATACCTGTGATAAAATTTCGTATTTGCATCTGCTCCCTTCAGCTAGTGCTGTTTTGCCCTTTGTGTCCAATATGCATCTTCATGTATTTCAATCTGAGCTAGACACCCCTCCAACCGCTGGTATTCTGCTAACAATGCCTGATCCATACACCCTCGTAAACGCAACTGCTGCTTACGAAGATTCATTGCCAGTTCACCAAACTTATGAAATCTATCACCTCCCCATCGTGATAATCTGTCTCCACAGAGTTGAATACAACCCTGTAGCCCCTTATTCCTCCCTTCTACCCAGTCCTCTCCACAACCCCCCCTGCAACCCTCATCATGTAGCCAAGCCATCTCAAAATGGAACCTTCGTCTCATTCCATTACGTCTTTCCCGAAGATTCAGAATCCCAAGGAAAAGAGCAGAATGATCTGATTGTCGGGTCAGAATGTTTAAGATGCTGGCATCCCTAACCACTTCACGCCATTCCTGTGTTACTAGCACCTTATCCAGCCTCTCCTCAATCCAGTCCACAGTCCCTTCACCCATCTCCCATGTATACGGGTATCCCTGCATTGGCAACTGGGCCAAACCACACTCATCTATGGTTTCTCCAAAGCCTCGCAAAAGCGCCTCTGGATGCGGATTCCCTCCTCGTTTTTCATGCTGATACAGTAGATCATTGAAATCCCCTATCATGACCCATGGTAGCTGAGATCGATGTGATAATGATCTAATAAGCTCCCATGACTCATTCCGCCTCCACCACTGTGCAAAACCATAGAACCCCGTCATTCTCCACTTATCAAATCCTGGTATAGTCACCTCTATATCCACATGGTTCTTTGAGTAACTCAACAAACTAGCTGTATTGTTTTTCCTCCACAGTAGCGCCATACCACCTCTCACTCCTACATTGTCAACATAAAAAAGGCCATCAAACTCAATCTTCACCTCGGAGCCTCTCTGCATGATCCCGGGCCACCATAGTCTCCATTAAAAATACAAAATCGGGTTTCTTACGGGACACCATGTCCACAATTTCCTGAACTATCTGTCGATTACCCAAGCCACGACAGTTCCAGCTCAAAGTACTCATTGGTTCGGGCGGGACTGGGCACCAGTTCCCGCCATATGCAAGTTTTTTGAACCACTATCCACATCCGTTTCTCCACCATCCTGGCCCACCACCGCACGGTGGCGTTTCGAGGAAGCCACCACACCCTCCGCCACATCATCATCCGAAGCCGCCATCCGTATATCACTTTGGCTATCATCGGAAGAGGCTGTTCCCTCCACTCTCTGGCGGTTGCTATTGACCGATCCCGCCCCCTCCACCGGTGGTAAAAGCCATGACGCACCAACCTGCCTGGGACCCCTATTCTGCCCCGCTCTCATCCACGGTCCATAAGGATAGAATTCCGGAGTGAGACCGGACACTCGTGCTTTCAAACAAAACTTCTCCAGGTAGCCAAACATCCCACAATAGAAACAAAAATTATGTAAACGCTCATATTTCAGATTAACCCATCCCCATGTTCTGTCCCTACGGATCAACTTCATGCGCCGTTTCAAAGGTTTGTCCACCGGTACCGCCACTCGGACCCGATAAAAAACCTTTACCGGTCCACCAACCTGTGGGTTATCACACCGGATGAACTTTTCAACATAATTCCCAACCTGCTCTAGAATTTTATTATCAGTATATCCAACTGGTAGATCGTAAACCTGCACCCACATATAAACAGTATCCAATTTTACCTCCCCCGGAAGCATTCCATCCGGAACTTGCCTGCACACAAGAGTATGATTCTCAAAAGACCAAGGCCCCTCCTCAAGCACCCGTATCATGTCTGTTTCATGATAAAAAGCAAAGAGAAACAAATTTGCATGCATCTCCGTAACCCTCATTCCCATCACTGGCATCCAAACGGACGCAAGTACCTGTCACATATACTCGACCTTAATAAGTTTGGTCGTCAAGAACCTCCCCACAACAGAGTAAACTACCGCTGAATCGTCAACCACCGGCTGCCCTACCCCTTCGGCCATCACCCCTTCTTCTTCATCTTCTAGGACTAAATCAGCCCACCGCTCTGCCATTCTCGCCACACCACCATCATGCTGCTATCGTGTGGGAGATGCCATGCCGTTGATCGTTGTCGTCCTCCCTGCCGGAGACTGGCCGAGACCGTGCTGCATGTGTTCGGAAAAGAAAAAACCCTAATTGGGAGAGATGGAGAGAAAAACCCTAATTGGGAGAGATGGAGAGAAAAATCCTGATTTCCTGTAATTAAATTCTTATAAAAATGAATGTTTTTATATATTTTTTTTAGAGTATGAATTATTTGTTCCATTCAATGTTTTTTAAAAATATATTGTGGGTTATGTTTTAAGTACTAAGTATCTGATGGTGTTTTTTATTGTTCTCTTTATTATGCATGGAGGATTTTATTTTTTATTAATAGAATAGATATCATATGATTAATAGTATTAAATGAAGAAATTTATACATGACAAGTTACTACATGTAATTATGGTAACATTTATTTAAAATCTAATGAAATTAAATTTTTATATACTATTAATAAAAATAATTTTTTTTTCTGTGCACAACAATTTTACATTAAAATATGGTAATACAATTCCTAATACAATATATTCTTTTCTATTTTCTTATTCCTGCTATAATATCTAGATTAAATTTTATATCAATTTGTCTTATGTAAGATATCGTATGACATCTATATATTATTTACTCTTCTATTTTTCTTATTCTTTTTATTATTTTAATGCCTAATAATTACCACAAATAATTAATTAATAATTATAGATTTATATTCGGCAATTATATTAATAATTAATTATTAAATCAAGTATAATTTATTTTGTACTGTGAACCCATTATTTTTAATAATTTTGATTTAAACTATTTAAGTTTCTATATTTTTCATATACAAAGCTATAATTGTAGTTTATAATTGTAATACTTTCATGATAATATTGAATATTAACCATATGCATTAAAAAAAAATATTAACCAAATGTTTAGATTTAATTATATATTACATTAAAATAATTATATATTAATCTAATATAGTGATGGTTAATACGGGTAAACCATATATAAGCATAATCTAGTATAGAAAATATTCATTACTAACCATATATAACTTAGGAAATAAGTAAACTTATTGAAACTTAATTATTTATAATTTCACCTTTAATATAAATATAAAGTTTGAATATCCAAAATTAATAAGATTTTTCTTAATGTGGATCTATATATTTTAAATAATTTTTATTTAATAATATTATACCTTAATTATAAATATAATACCTAATATATATATATATATATATATATATATATATATATATATATATATATATATATATATATATATATATATATATATATATATATATATACACACAAAATCCTCCTATTTCATTTTTCCGCTCAAACTTTTGTAGTCAATTAATTAAATATTCTATTGGTAATACCATGTACAAAATATATTAATTAGGTAATAACATAATAGCATAATTGGTAATAATATGTATGATATTTTATAATATAATTGGTAATATAATTAATTGGTAATAAACATATTTAGTAAACTACACGAATAAGCATATAGATTTTATATTTGAAATTTTAAATTTTAAATTTATGTCTTTTGTTTAAATTGAACGATTTAATGGATTTGCATTCCTTTGAATATTCATTTGTTTTATTCGTTTATCCACACCTGCATGTTCATAGGTGAAATTACAGTATTTAAAAGAATATTACAAAAATAATTATTAACTAAGAATAAAAAGGGCACAAAATTTAGGCCAATTAAAATAGGAAATGACTATTAATAATTGACTGAAAATTAAAAATACTTTGAAATTGATTCAAATACACCAAATGAAATGAATATTAATACTTGATTAAAAAATAAAAATGAAATGAATAATACTTGAATATTAATCAATTACTGGAAATATAATTTTTTTTTATGAAAATTAGGCCAATTGGAAAAGAAAATGAATATTAATACTTGAATATTAATAAATTACTAAAAATATAAAAATTACTGAAATAAAATGTATTAATAAAAATGTAAAATGAAATTTGCATCTCAACGTTTAACTGAGATGGAAAGAAATATTAATCTCGGTTATATATTTTATAAAATGTAAAGTTATTGGAAATATAAAAAAAAAACTGTTATTAATAATTAAATAATTAATTAATATGTATTAAAAAGAATAATTGACTGGTAATAAAAATGACATGAAATTTAGGTCAATTGAAATAGGAAATGACTATTAATAATCCATTGAAAATGAAAAATACTTCCAAACTGACTCAGTATATAGAAAGAATAATAATCTCGGTTATATATATTATAAAATATAAAGTTACTGGAAATATAAAATAAAAAAAAAAAACAAAAAAAAACATGTATATATATGTTACTAAAATATAGTTATGTAAAGATATATATTTAAAAATTGAAAATGGAATAGAATCATTTAGTATCCACAATTTATAATGAAAATTTTGTAATTAAAGATGGAAAATGTTTTGCAATTCAAGATGGAAATATAAGGTTTAGCTGAGATGGAAAGAATATTATTCTATATGGAAATTAATAATTTTTACACCAAATGTTATTTTATACTAAGAATATATGGATTGTGTAATTATAAGATTTAGCCGAGTATGTCAAAAAAAAATAAGGTTTAGCTGAGATGGAAAAAATATTAATCTCGGTTATATATTTTATAAAATATAAAGTTACTAGAAATATTTAAAAAATATGTATATATATGTTACTGGAAATATAGTTGTGTAAAGATATATATTTGCAAATGGAAAATTGAATAGAATCGTTTAGTTTCCACAATTTATAAGGAAAATTGTGTAACTAAAGATGGAAATGTTCTTGCAATACATATGAATGATTCAAAAGAAATTA